TACAGAACAATATTGCTTATGAAAACAACACAAAAATCCTCAACAAAATACTAGCAAATCAAATCTAAGAGTGTATAAGAAGAATTATATACTCCAACAAAGTAGGGTTGGTTCCAGGTATGCAAAGTTAGTACAACACATAAAATCAATTAATGTAACCCATCCCATCAATAGGCTAAAGAAGGAAAATCACATTAGATTCAGAAAACTCTTTAGACAAAATCTAACACCCATTATGATAAAAATTCCCAGGAAACTGGAGCACCTGGGTGACTCAGTTGATTAGGCATCTGATTCCATTTAGGCTCTGGTCGTGATCTCGGGGTCATTATCTCAAGGTCCCCAGATTGAGCCCCGAGTCAGGCTCTGTGCTCAATAGGATGTCTGCCTCTCTCCCTCTCTCTCTGCCTCTCCCCCTACTCACATGCATGCTCTCCCTCTCTCTCTCTCTAAAATAAATAAATCAAGTTTAAAAAAAAAAAACTCCCACGAAACTAAGAATAGAAGTGAATTTCCTCAACTTGATTTTTTAAAAATCTATGAAAAACCTACAATGAACATATTTAATGGTGAAAACCTGAAAATTTCCCCACTAAGGTAAGGAACAAGGTTAGGATGTCCCCTCTCACCACCTTTATTCAACATCATACTAGATGTCCTAGCTAATATAATAATTCAAAGAAAAGAAATAAAAGTTATACAAATTGGAAGGAGAAAAACTGTAGATGACATAGTTGTTTATGTAGAAAATCCCAAAAAAAAACTGCCAAAAAAATAAAATTCTCCAACTAATAAGCAATTATAGCAAGGTCACAATATACAAGATTAATATACAAAAGTCAATGGCTTTCCTCTAATGAATAATTAGAAATTGAAATAAAAATCATACTACTATTCATATTAGCACTAAAAGTTAAATGCCTAAGGTATAAATCTAACAAAACATGTACAAGATCTACATAAGGAAACTACAATACTCTTATGAAAGAAATCAAAGAAGACCCAAACAAATAAATTTTCATGGATAGGAAGTCTCCATATTGTTAAGAAGCTAATGCTTTCCAATTTGATCTATAGATTCAATGCAATCCCAATCAAAATCCCACCAAGTTATTTTATGGATGTTGACAGACTGATTCCCAAGTTTATATGGAGAGTCAAAAGACCAAGAATAGCTGACACAATACTGAAGAAGAACAAAAGATTGACACTACCCAATTTTAAGAATTACTATAAAGGTCCAGTTAACAATGTGATATTGGTGAAAGAATGGACAAATTGATCAGAGAGCTCAGAAATAGACCCACACAAATACAGTCAACTGATATTTGACAAAGGAGCAAGAAAATTCAAGGAAGTCTTTTCAACAAATGAACTGGACATCCATATGTCAAAAAAAATGTAGACATAGAATTTATGACTTTCACAAAAATTAACTGAAATGAACCTTAGACCTAAATATAAAATGCAAAACTATAAATTTTTGTAAGACAACATAGTAGAAAATCTAGGTGGCCTTGGTTTGGTGATAAATTTTTGGATACAATACCAAAAACACAATCTGAAAGAGAAAAAAATGTTAAACTGGACTTTATTAAAATTGAAAATTTCTAGTTTGTGAAGGATTGTTAAGAAAATGAAAAGACAAGTCCCAAACTGGGAGAAAATTTTGCAAAATATTTATCTGAAAAAGGACTTACTTTATAATTCAAAAAACTCAACAATAAGAAAATAAACAGCCCAATTTTAAACATGACAAAAAATTCAAATAGATACTTCAGCAAAGAAGATCCACATATGCCAGTAAATATATGAAAAAGTGTTCAACATCACATGTCATTAAGGATTTGCAAATTAAAACAATAATGAGATACCACTACACACCTGTTAGAACAGCTTAAAAACTTTTTTGAAGTAAAAATATCAAATGCTGACAAGAATGAGGAGCAACAGGAACACTCACTCATTGCTGATGGTAATACAAAATTGTACAACCACTTTGGAAGACAGTTTCATAGTTTCTTAAGAGTCTAAGCATATTCTTACTATATGATCCAGCAACTGTACTCCTAGGTATTAACCCAAATGAGGTGAAAAGTTATGTCCACACAAAAACCTACACATGAATGCTTATAGCAGCTTTGTTCATAGTCACAAAAAACCAGAAGCAATCAAGAAATCCTTCAATAAATAAATAAATCATGGTACATCCATATAATCTAATATTATCTAGTGATAAAAATAAATGAGAAGACATACAGGAACCTTAAATGCATATTGTTCAGTGAAAGAAGCTAGTCTGAAAAAGGCCACCTATTGTCTGATTCCAACTATATAACATTTTGGAAAAGGCAAAACTATAGACATAATAAAAAGATCAGCAATGGTGAGAAGTATGGAGTAGGGAGGAATGATGAGTAGGTGGAGCACAGGGGATATTTAGGTCAGTGAGACAATTCTGAATGAAACTGTAATGATAGAAACATGTCATTATGTATTTGCCAAAACTCATAGAACTGTATGTACAACCTGAGGAGTGAAACTTGATGTAAATTAAGGATTTCAGTTAATAATAATGTTATCGATATTGATTCATCAATTATAAAAAATGTACCACACTAATGCCAGATGTTAGGAATAGGGGAAGCTATGGTGTGGGGGGAGGAAGGAAGGAAGAAATTATAAGGATCTCTCAGTACTGTCGGCTCAATTTTTCTGTAAATCTAAACTTGTGCTTGAAATGTCCATTACTTTTTTTAAATCTAAAGCTCTCTTTCTATTAAAAAAAAAAAAAAGCCCATGAGAGAAAATAATTTTTCCCTGTGAACTCAGCTAGGGTATCACACATATTCAAAGATGAAACTCATGGTACTTTTTTCCCCCTCAAATATAATAGAAGGTTAAAATACAACCTGTACATTCAAAGTTTAAATGGAGTAGAAACACTTCTTAAACCAATTATGGACCAGGAGCAGTGCCCCCGTGAAGAGAGGAGAGAATAAAGTCCTTGTGAACTTTGAAAAAAAACCAAAACAAATATGGACCATATTTAACTTTTTTCTCTTTGTGTTTGCATTATAAAATCTCAGAGGCAAAAGGGACCCTGGAGGTGATCTAGTCCTAGTTTTTATCTGAATCTCCCTTACATTCTCCATAAATCTGATCGCTCAGCTCTGTTGTCAATCTTTGTCTATTTTTTATTTTCTCCCTTTTCCTAGTTCTGGTCTCCCCTACCCCCTTAATTGGCTATAATACTTTAAAAAAGTATATTTTTATTTTGAATTATAGTTCTTGAATATGGTTTTATTTTCCATTTTTGCTTTTAAAAACACACCCATATACACAAGAAATAAAAAATCCACAAATTGAGACATTTTTCTTTTAGGACCTTCCACTTAACACTTTTTTTTTATTTAATAAAGTTTTATTTTCCAAAATGTACAGTTGGTGGGATCTTGTTCATGCATCTTCACCAGCAGCTGGGGCATCTCCACCCTTGGTGTTTCTGGTGTAAATTACTTGAGCTCTGTGCTTAACACTTTTTCTGTGTGTCAATGGCCTTAATAGAGGTGCAGTACGTATATCTAATTTTCAAGTCCCAATGTAATTTTCAGTCTAAGATTGATGTTTTTCCTAGCAATTTTTGGTAGGAAAAATTTAAGCTTCTAAAAGCAAAACTACTATATGGACATTAACATTTAAGCAAAAAAAAAAAGTTTCTTTAATAATAACTAATAATTCATTCTTTCCCTTCATTGTTCTCTGGGAAAATAAACTGGTGTTCATTATAAACAACTTTAAGGAAAGCATGGCTATAGTGTACATGACTGTAAATATAATTTTTAAAAACTAAAGAATATAGGTAACATATTTAAAGTTTCATTTTTTTGAAATATTAAACTTAAGATCCAATGATAGACCAAAATATTAGGTGGCAAGTCCTGTTGACCCAGAGTCTCTGAAGGAAATGTAGTCAGTTATAAATAAGGTAATTATTTTCTAAAAACTATCAATTCTCTTTAAACTTGATTTTTCAAAAATATTTCCTGATTTACTATTTTTAAATATTACATTTGTCTTTGGGTAAAAATGGGTGAGAATAGAAATATTTCAATTTAATTTATGAAAATTTGCCAAACTTTACCAAATCTTGCCAGGGCATAGTTATTCTGAAATAAGGACTACCCCTCATATTTAGTGATATCATTTTATAAGAAAAATGACTCAGAAGTTCAGAATAGGGAGAGTAAAACTGTATAACTATATACCCACAAAACAATCAGAAATGGAACTTAAATTTCTTATAACTGGACTTTTTAAAAATTCTTCCATATTACTAAGTATATTTGGAAAGCTAAAATTTTGTGTTGACATTAATTAAAGCATTTAATCTCAAAACTTAGAATACTAAAAGATAAAGCTGTAAAGCAGCATTTCTCAACCTTGGTAGTATTACATTTTGGCCAGGTAATTTCTTGTTGTGGGGCTGTTCTGTGTACCAAAGGCTTTTTAGTAGTATCCTTGGCATTGACCCAAAAGATGTCCTCATAGTCATGAGAACCAAAAATGTCTCCAGATATTGCCAAATCTCCCCGGGGGGAGGTAAAATCATCCCTAATTAAAAGCCATGGTTGTTAATTTATCTCCATTTTAAGTTGTCACAAAGTTAGTATACATTCTTTTTCTTAGAAAGTCTACAGAAAGAAAAAGAGAAAATTATGGAACCCCCATGTTCCCATATATATGAAAGAGAACTTAAGAGCAAGTAAAGAAGCAACAAAGGAAGATAGAATCTTTGAAACTCTTGACAGGTATCCAAGGAAAATTCTGGTGTAAATTACTTTTAGTTCAGAGTCCAAGATGATGTGAAAGAGTAACGATGCTATTTCTGAGTAAAAGTTGTAGTTTTATGTTCCACCAGAAAGTAAGTATTGTAACTGCTAAGAAAGAATTTATTTATCATGGCATGTGAAAACATCTTTTTAAAAAAACTGAAAGAGTGCTTGCTTAGGCAGCAATATGGTAATACTGGAATGGTACAGAAAAGATTAGCACAGCTCCTGTGCAAGGATGACATGCAAATTCGTGAAACATTCCATTTAAAAAGAAAACTGAAATAAATGAAATCTTACTTTTGTCTATAGTACTCCCTGGTACTCTTTGTTCTCGATCTTTAGAAGGTACAATTGCTTTACTGCTTGATTCAAGCATAGATTGTTTTGCTGGTAAAGATGAAAGCTCAATAGCATTATAAGAATCATACAAATCCCAAGTACTGGACATTACACCTAAATAAAGAGACAGAAAGGTAAAAATTATTTTGAATCAAATTCTAATAGTTTAGCTTATACATAACTAGTTATAGCAAAATCTAAGATAAGAACATCTGCTTAAGAAAAGAATACTATTTTTTTTACAATGGCAAGAAGATGAAAAAGAAATAAATCATGAGGACAGGTTGAGATCCTTAGCTATCACACTTTTTGCATCTACGTATACATTAGTGTTTTAATGATAACTCCAAATTATCTCACCATCCTTTCTGATCCCCACACCTGTCTTCCCTCTATCCCAAGCTGATGGTGCATAATCTCATCCGTCTGTCAGTATAGGTCTTGCTTGATATGGACCTGGACAACCATGTCACAATAAGGATTTAATGTTCTTTTACTTATGGCTAACATGTTTATATTCTATAGAACTTTTAATTTATAATCATCTCATTCCATTTTTATCACAAAAAATCTCCTATATATTTATGTGAAAAGATTATACTTGTTGGGAAATTGGTAGACTCTGTTCTCAAGAAACTTGTAGAGTAATATGGTTATTATCTTCCCTTTTAAAAATTTTTGTTTACATTGGCTATGATTTTTTTCTAATGAGCAAATATAGCAATGGTCTCCAAACAAAAATTGGGAATGTTATTTATCTCGAAATTAAAAAAAAAGTTCCAACCCTTTTCATTGATATAACAGTGAAAGGTTCATGTAGCGATTATTTTATCAGTGACCATGTAATAAAATATTCCTATGTGCTAAACTTGCAAAAGTTTACAGTACAGTGATTTAATAATTCTTTTCTCTGAAAATCAAAACAAGACCTAGATATAATAAATGCAACTACTTCATTATTGTAACTTTTATTTTCATTAAATAAAATGAAGGAGCTCTGGATTTCACAATGTTTTCAGTTAGTAAGAATGTTAACTCACATTTCATAATAACATTTCTACTTTATTGAACTTATCTTAATAATCTAACAAAGTTATACACAGAATAAATACCTCATCTATTTTGCTGATTTGAAAAGGGTACAATTTCCATGTTCATAAAGTAAAAGACCATAAAAAGAAATTACGTCTTTGAATATTGAATTACCTAACCTTCTTTTTCTTCCTTTAACTGAAAGTTTAGTAATTTGAGTATATAGGAATATATTGTTACATCGTCAGCAACAACTGCTACATAAATAAAGGCACATATTATAAATGAACAATATAAAATGTTAGGGTGATTTAAAGTTGTTTCTTGTTTGAAGATAAATAATATTGGTAATTTTTTTTTAAAGATTTTATTTATTTATTTGACAGAGAGAGACACAGCGAGAGAGGGAACACAAGCAGGGGGAGTGGGAGAGGGAGAAGCAG